CCACACTTCATATGCCAATCATATCACAGGGCGGTATGCTGTGCTGCACCCCACCATGTAGGCATCTGTGATGCATCTGCAATGCACCTCCCCTCATCCACATGGCTGCTGGCCCCTTACATGCTGCCAGTTGGGCAGGCCTGTCCTGAAACAATGGACTTTGTGACAAGTAAATGCCACCAGAACAGTGGTGCTAAGCAATCTGGTCCCACAGGCCAGATGAGTGACGCAGGACCAGCCCAGAGTGACACCATGCAGCAACCCATCCCTGCACTCTGCCTTGCTGCATACCCTCATGCACTGACTAGGGGTGCACCAATAAAAATTTTTTTGGTTGATACCAACAGTATCCAGCACCACTGCTGCCCACCCTGAGCGCAGCCCCAGCTCAACCCCTTCCACAAGGAAAAGCCCAGTTTACAGCAGCAGCCTGCCCTCACCCTGTGCACAGATCCAGGGGGTACATGCCCCCCATGCTTCCCCCGGTGGGTGCATGCAGTGGCAGGAGCCCCCCCCTTCCCTGAACAGTCCCCCCCCGTTCTCCCCAACGAGCCACTCATGGCTCCATCCTGCACCCCATCTAAACAGCGCCTGCCCCTGCCCCACTACCTCACTCACCACGGGGGCCTTGATCTGCCACCCCTCCTCCCCCACAGACTTAACAGCTGAACGCTGTTCTCCAAGCTGGCCACATGCGTGCTGTGGCTGTGTGCATGCATACAGCATTTATCGGCTTCATCAGCCAAAAAAAAGAAGTCCATTGCCAATAATATAAACTGACTAACAGTGCTGATATGATACGGACCGATTTATCGGTGCACCTCTAGCACTGACCCAGCCATACTTACCAGGGAAGTGGAGGCAATAACTGTGGCAACTTCCAGAGCCACCACAATGCTGCCACTACTCACCCACCACCAAATTTCTGGACCCATAGGGAGCCCACAGGCTGGAGGTTGAGCATCACTGCTCTAGAGCAGGGGTTTTCAACCAGAGGTACACGCCCCCCACCAGCTCGTCAACTAGCCACCGGGGAACTACCCACTTCGACTGGCTGCCGGGGACCAAAAAAAGGTTGAAAGTCCCTGCTCTAGCGGAGACTGCCTTTTTTCATGGTCTGCCATAAACACTGCATTGGTCTATAACTATTTTGAAACAGATTTAGTTCACAAGGCTTCCTGGAAACCTGACCACACATTAACCAAACTGAGCAGAACAATACCAATCAAAATGTGCTTTATTAACCCATCATATAATAAAATCTAGGCTGCATAGCCATTTTTAATTATTTCTTGTTTGTGTACTATGCCAATTTTCCAATCCTTCGAGATATCACTTTTTCTACCCTTAATTTAGCAGCTATTCACTATCTTTATTTTAAAAACAAAACAAAACCCACAAAACTAAAAAATCTCATGGGGTCCTTATTACCACAGTATATAAAAAAAATCCACAATAATCCAGAGCTAAACATACTTCCCACCCTCTTCACACCACTTACCCAATTCACTTTGAACATTTACATTTTTCATCCAGTTATACAGAATGGTCCATTACCTGCTCCTGGGACTGGTGTATCCTGCAATTTCATAGCCTTATTAATTGACCCACCACTCTCCCCCACACCAAGTAACTGTTATAAAATCTCAACTTTGAAAATTTTCATGGGAGTTAAAGCTTTCTTTAAATGTGGACAACAAATGTCAACAGTTTCACTAACTCTAGACACACCAAAACCGCAGCAGAAGTGTAAATTTTAGCCCACCCATTTAAGCAGGTTAATGAAAAGACCAACAGGTAACACCATTTCCATGCCAAATTTTAACTAAGTGTGGCTGATTACTTGTGCTGCATGGATAAACCTTACCTACTATGCAGTTATCAGCTAGTAACCACGCCAGCTATTCAGCCTGCCTAAGAGTGCATTATCTTTCTGTAACTAGATAAGCAACTAGGACTGGGGTTTTTTTCCCTTTTTTTTGGGTGGCAGTTAGGGAGATTACCTAGTGGTCAGAAAAACCTCACCAGATTTAACCGATCTGGCTACTCCTACCCTTCTCAGCTGCCTATCCAATAGCATATAGTACGGCATATTGCACTATGGACTGATGATACTACTATATATAGTTCCTCTAGGTATTATATCCTGTTGAAATGCAATTAGAACCCATACAGATTTTCCCAGAATGCACACATGCAAAACACAGCTGCATGGTAAATGCAGATGCACAAAAAGTGCTGTGTGAACACAAACTGAACAGCATGACACAAATCAGTTAATATGACCCCATGTAACTGAATTACAAAAAAAAAAAGCAGCAAACAAACTTGATTAAAATTTACAATGTGCAAAGGGCAAACCCTCACCATTACTAAGTTAACATGTTGTAGGGTGCATTCACATGAGCCCGCATGTGACTGTTGTGGTAACTCAAAGAAGTATGAGATGCCACAAGAGGCACACCACGAATGAAAAAAAGTGTTCCTTGTGCTGCATATTTGCAGCGCAGACTAAATTTGATACCAGGAAATTCCAGTATCAACCAAAAAAAAAAAAGCCCCTGCTGAAAAAAAAGCAGAGCAGGGTGCCCTGGAGCATACCCTGAAGCACTGGAGGCTAGGACCTCCAAGGAGACAGTCTGGCACCCAGCCAGAGCATCTTTATACCTGCCCCCTTTCCCTGCTGCCCCAGCGCTGGAGCAAATAGGGGCAGCGCAAGCCTGCAGCAGTAACCCAGATCCAGGGACTGTCCCCACTAAATAGGGACCATTGTGGGGGGGAAAATGAGACACTGCTTGGGAGGGGTGGGTCCCCCACCTGCACCCCTCCTCCCTCCCCCCCACAGCAGAGGACATTGGGCACCCAGGGCCTTCTCCTGGCAGAACCCCCTGCAGTGCAGCAGGGCCCCAGCTGCCTACGACCCAGCACTACCTGTGCCACGTCGCAGGCCTGACCCTGGCTTGGAGGCGTGTCCCTTCATGCAGGACCAAGCCACTCTTACCATCATTCAGGCTCCTTGCACAGCATGCATGGGCTGTGCGCCAGACTGGGCCAGGTCCTGCCTCCATGGAGCCTGCCCAGCTTGACAGTGTACGGGGCACTTAGAGGCAGGACCTGGCCCAGCGCATGGGCCCTGTATGGGGAGCCAGGATCCCAGATGACAGCAAGAACAGCTTGGTCCTGCCTGAAGCCACACATCCCTGGTTCAGGCCAGACCCGCAAAATGTGGCACACGCAGTGCTGGGTCTCAGGCAGCCAGGGCTACACTGCAGGGGGTCTCTGCCAGCAGCAGGCCCCAAGTGCCCAATGGCCGCTACTTCTCTGGGGGGGTCTGCGCACAGAACTCCCTGCAGTGCATGGGGCATGCGTCCCTCTGAATTTGTGCATGGGATGGAGGCAGCATGGGCTCTGCATCCCACTGCCTTGGGAGTGGCAGCACCTGGCAGGCAAGCTAACTGACACCTGATAAAAACTGTGATGACTCCAGATTACATATGTAAATAAGGTACACAAATTCTGTAATTCAGTCCCAATAAATATTAACCAACTACTTCCATTCTTCATTTTCAATGGTGACAAAGTTAACCTGGTTCAAAAGTATTTTCTCCCTTGTCTGAGAGAAATGCATCCTTGCTAATGCGTTATTACATATTTGTTTTAAAGTAATCAATATTTGTCACTTCTACAACATGTACCTCTTAGCTATATAGTTTCCTGTGCATAACCAACTATGTGTAAAGAGAGAACATATAGGCAAGATGGCTAACTAAAAATTACTTTCAACTGCAATGCTGTCAAATGAAGGTATATGGCTTTACTAATAAAATTTCTCTCACTGGGACAATACACCAATTAAGAAAGCACGCACAAGATTTTATGGGTCTCAGATATGATATTAGGAAATACAAACGAATAACTTTGCAGCAAAAATGACCCCACATTCAGAAAAATAATGAAAATTCTTATCTATTTTATTGGGATATAAATTTTGAAGCACTACTATGACTGCTGAAGAGCCTTTGTTTATATCACTTACTCAACAAACAGTTAAGGACCATAAGGAGTTACCTAGCCTCACCTATTCCATTTAAAGTGGATTAAAACAAAAAGGAATATGGCCCTCTATGCCAAAAGAAGAGAGTCCACCTTCAGAGGGTGTAGACAGAAGTACAGCTCCCAGCTGTACTCAGAACGATTTTTGCAAAGCATTTCGAGTAATGTTACCTCAGAGCAAACAGAAGTTCACTGTTGGTTTCGGGGGGTGGAAGAGAATCTAGCTGTGGGCTGGGAGCCTGGAGCCATCGCATCAGCCAGGGCTCTCTGCCAGTATTCACAGTTTGCAGAACAGGAGGGGGGAAAAAGTCAGCACAGGGAGCTTATTCTTGGGGCTCCACAGCTGGTGCTGAAGGGTAGGGTGGGTGAAGTGGAGCCCTCCTCCTCCCCCACTTCAGAGGGGCTCCAATACCCCTGCCATACCCTCCAGAGGAGCTGAAAAACCCCCAAACTAAACTCCTCTGCTCCCTTCCCCCCCCTCCCATTCTGAAAACACTAGCAGGCTGGGAACTCCCCAGACAAGTTACAAAAGACACTACATTTTGAAACGTCTTCATCTGATACCTTGTGCAAAGAGGGATCAGATTTTCACCACATCAGCCATTTGTGAAGCTGTTCATTTGTGTTTGGTCACAGCTATAAACTATTTTCTGTGGCTAGATCAGGCAAGAATTGTCACTTCTGTTTGCACCCAAAGTTATTCTGGATCATCTGCTGCCATATTGTCTGTGACCTGACTAAATTTACCACCCCACACCCAGTAAAAGTAATACAACTAAAAAAAGAAAAAAAAAAGAGAGAGAGAGAGAAGTGGGGACGGAGGAAAATGTATTTTCATTCATTGTACTTTAAATTTATTTCAGAACCTGAAATGCAAGAGAATTTATTGAAGATTTCCTTTAAAACACTTGAAAGTATGTTATGGGAGGTTAAATAAATTGACCTACCTTCACCTTGTATTTCTCCTACTACCTTAGTGAGGATACTGCCATTATCTGACATCTCCACGGTGCATACTCTTCTTAAAACAGTGTTCATTACAGCCTATGGTTAGAATGTTTTCATAAAATCTCAGCCAAGTAGCTTGACAGCTAGTATATTAATATCCATTTCCTATTTTTCTATTGTTCTTCAGCATCTCCTGGCAAAATTTAGGGAACACAGGTTCACACCTCTAGCATTTTAATAGCTTCTCTATTATATCAACAGTTCTATGAAGGTTCCCCTATCCTTTGATATGAACTCTAACACAATATATTGTGAGAGGCAAGGATTTCTTACGGTGATACCTTAATTAGACAAATACATTTATTGAGATGATAACTTGTCTCATTTGAGGAATTTCTATATCAAGACATTACCAAATCATATCTAAAAAGATGCCTTGCTATTCTTAAGCCTATTTGTGCACACATTTATTTCAAAACATAAAAATTCTCCCATTCTCCCCTCACCCACTGCTCTGTAATAGATTGTGTGTCTATCTGTTTTTTTACTTCTTCTACAAGAACATACTTTACAACCAATTTCCAAGTTCTTGAGAATGTGACAACCATAACAAAGAATAGACAAGTGATGTCAACTTTTAAATCTGAAAGCTTTATATTGGTCAAAAGTTAATGTAAAGCCAAAAAGTTCATAACTTATTGATTCCCCTAGAAATGTGCTCAACTCAATCAGATACTCTGCACTCAACTTGATATACATATTTAAAAAAAAAAAACCTTCAGCTGCCACACTTTATTTGGCAAGAAACATTAAGGCACAGATCTCACCTTATATGCTATGCCAGAACCCACACAAAATTTGCCAAAATCAAGGTAAATTTGATAGGGAGAAAAATATACACTTCTGAGATTTATAAAAAAGACTGCTCCAAAATATTTAAAACTTCCTCTGCATAATAGCTCATTTCCCCTGTATGCACTGAGCACTCAGAGCTATAACAATATTAAAATCAGGATAACCTTCCAGTAGCAAATCTAATCAAATAATTTCTGTAAACAAAGGCAGACAGTTACCACATACAAAGTGCCAGGCATAGTGTTGGTTGCAATACAGGGTATCTGTACACAGTGACAATGTATAAAAGGCAACGATTGCAAAACAAAGATTCCCCAATATCAATGTATTAACTATGATTCCACTCATTTTTAACTAAGAATCTTAATAATTCTGCAAGTAGAATAAGTTTATCAGAAAAACAAACAAACATTAATATCTTATTCACTCTAACAAACTAGCAATCAGAGTAAGCCTTAGAACAAACTATATAACTTTGCTCTTGAAAGTCACAATTAGAAGCCATAAAGGTATTCTTTACTAACTAATAATACAAGTTGGAAGTTTTAATTAAGAAAACTGAATAGATGTGAAAATTTGGGAACTGTGTGTTCCCCATCTCATTTTGTGAAAATCATAGTGAATGTGCCATTTTGAGGGTAACCTTGATTATGTCCTTCACTGTATGCTGTAACTGCCATATGGTATTGCATCATCATATCTGTGTTTGGGCTAAGGGTGTGGCACAGGAGTGTCTATCTTAATCCAAAAAAAAGACCTCAGTATGGAATAAATTGAGTTATTCAAGAATATCTATTCCATTTTAAATACCTGGCCTATATTAATTCCAAGTACTTTTCACATATATACCAGCTCAAAGAAATGGCAGTGTAGTAGGGGAACTATTGCCAGAACCAGACAGCTAAGCAGGAGGAACTGAAGGACCTGACCCTGCATGATACTGACTAAAACCCTGACTAATCTCAGGCAGGAGCGAGAACAAGACTGTGTACAGTTGTTACTAGTTTTCAGAGATCTTTCTCCTGTACTGTCTAAAAATGAAATGTGTGTGAATTTAAGAAGCTCCTTTGCCAACCCTTTTTCCTTATTTTTGTTCTCTGTATCACATACCTTTGAAGGTTTAAAATACAAACTGTAGTTCCAGAGTGAAGGGAGCACTGAGACGAGTGTAATGAAGGAACTGGGGACTTGGGATGACTAATGCACTGCTTCATAGGTCTAACTGGATGGCTGGATGGTGCGGTCCCAGGTGCTAACAGTCATCAGACCCAAGCACCACAGAGCAGGAACAGTGCTCGGTCGAATCCTTGGACCCCGAGATTTATGGGACAGATAAACCTAACAGCAACAGACTGGTGTTAACATAAAACAAGCTTAAAGTATCACAGCCTAATCTAAATTACAATATTTTAAGTCATTTAAATATTTTATATTTGCAATCAACATCTATTCTTAATCAAAGATATTAGCCATTATTATTATTTTCAGAATACAAAAAGAATCTAAACCAAACAAGATAACACAAATTAGCTGATAATTTTAGAGATGCCTATACATTCAAACTAACAATTAAGAGCATTTATTCTTCAAAAATAGCAGTTTAGAAGTAATGTTAAAAATCTTTTTTTCTTTCATACAACTGAAAGAGGGGGAAAAAGGACAAATTGGAAAGATTTAAATACACGTTCGTCTTGTTCTTAAAATACATTTTTCTAAGCTTCACATGAACAAATCTCTACATTGCTTAATACATCTAAATACACCTGAAAAAAAATGTTGGCATTTGCTGTGAAATGAAAAGAAATACTTCCTTATATAAAGAAATAGCACACTTTGTATCTGGCTGGTATGCAACAAGTAGAATATCAAGACCACTTCAGTAATTCCTATTTTAACAAATGAACACTTCTGCCATAAAGATGAGGATATACTGGTATTTCCACATCCCAGATAGTTTTAAATTCTTAAGCACTTCATTCCTTTAAAAATTTCTACATACATGTACCTAGTATTTCTAGCTGCCTGTCTCCGAGTTACCAGGGCTGCTGTTTAACCCACTAAACTGAGGTTATTCAGGTAACTACGATTTTCTAAGTCCTGAGCGCACTACTTTTGGAGTGCTCTTTTAGTGCCTGCTGGGTTGCAGAGCATGCTTCCCATAAATTAATGCTGTAAAAATACAGCATTTCCTCATAAATAAGAGGAGACAAAAACTCAACTGCTGACTCCTTAAGACTACCAACCTTATCTGGAAAGTTTCAGGATTTCTTGAAACCTAAAGGTCATGCAGTCAGACAAGTTTCTTGCAGTAGCATTAAAAAGTAAGATCTAATGATAACAGTGCTTGCGAGACCTGGATTCATCTCCCTATTCCGTCACAAACTTCCTGTGTGACCTTGGGCAAGCAGCTATACGTGAGGTGCCCATCAATAAAATACAGATTCCTGTCTTACTTATATATCTGAACTATATACCTATACCTGAGGTGCCCATCAATAAAATACACTTTCCTGTCTTACTTATATATCTGAACCTCCTTGCAAGAGACTCAGATGCTAGAGCAATTGGAACTGTAAGACAAAAGTATAGGAGTCTACATGTTTCAATATATTGGCAAACTGAACCTCTAAACTTTTTAGGTCCTATTCAAAACAGGCCCAGTTAAGCAGTAACCCAAAGCTACTGCCATTTGATAGTTTATGCTAGTGGTGCTCAACCCATGGGCCGGAGCCAGCTCCTGAAGAGCCTGAATCTGGGGGAAAAAAATCAGTGACAAGCAGCTCAGCCCAGTGTAGCCATCACCAGGTTCAATAAATACAGCCATATAGACTATGAGAAGAACTAACACGTTTTACTGGAAAGCAGTAAATGAGCCTCCACAGCCCTTTAATTTTTCTAACTAGGTGATACCTAACTGAGGGACCACCTTCAGATTGCAAACTCTTTCAGTCTCCTGTTACGCAGCATCTCTAAATTCTATCAATACAACTGCCATCTTAACAATAATTAAGAATGTCAGTTCACACAAAAATCAATTAACCCCCAAATCCATTAATCCCCAACAGAAAGATTACTACCACTTCACCCTGGAGTGAGTCTTCACCACTCACTTTCCTATTTTCCCTCTTCTGCAGCTCTTAAGTCTGAGTTTTTCAGGTTTCATTTTCTTATCAGACCAATCATAGAATCATGGAAGTTGGGTCGGAAGGGACCTTGTAGATCTTCAAGTCTGTACCCCCCGCCTGGGCAGGAGAAAAACTGGGCTCAAATGACTCCAGCCAGGTACGCATCAAGCCTCTTCTTAAAGACCCCCAGGGTAGGAGCCAGCACCACTTCCCTTGGAAGTTGGTTCCAGATCCTAGCCGCCCTAACTGTGAAGTAGTTCTTAC